ATAATGTGCTATCAAATAAATTTCAACTTATAACAGCCCTATGGACAAGGATCAAAACTGCCCAATCCTGTACCATCCTCACACTCTCTGCTGTACTTAAGCCCACTGCTAATCACTGGGTCAACCAATCACATTCCCGTCTTGGTCTTCCTCTCCTCTGACCTTCCATCTTTCCAAGCCTGAGGTTCTTCAGGGATTGGTCTTTCCTGCATGTCTCTCTCTTTTTAGCTTAACCAAATGTCAATCTGTCCTCTGCAACTTCCTTAAATAAGTATCTAACCTTTAGAAAATAAAATCAAAACTCTTTTATATAGCAAACACTACCCTTAGACTTGATGACATCGAACAATCACCACCATTATCCTCAGAAATCTGGACCTGGCCTATCTTTATAACACACTTCCATCAAGCTAGTTTCATCCCAAACCACACTCCTTCTAAACCATATACAATACTTGACTTGTATAGCAGTTTCCTGAACAAAATAAGGATACTCTTCTAAAGCTTAGTTACAAGATAGTAAAACAAGTCAATGTTCCTTCTATTTTCATGTTAATTTCAATTCTCTGTGAAGCTACAAAACTCACAAATTTCCTTGCAAGTTTACCTACACATGCTTTTCTCACTCTCTGGTTATCCTGTACTTCCACGGTGATCCATGCAGCATCACGTTATCCTTGCTTTTTTGCATGCTTCTTATTTTCCAGGGTGATCTTTAGAGGCAAGGATGGTGAAAAACTTTGTTTCACATACATACTTTGTGCATGTTGTCATGCGAGACCAATCTAAGAGCCTAAGCAAGACAGAATGATGCTGTGACTGTAACAACGGTCCAAGCATATTAGAGACTGTGAGGATAGCAAAGGGTAGTTCATGGTTCAGACCCTGCTGACAGGATCACAATGTGCCCCAATCAATTCAACAGCATGTGACAATTAGACTATGAAATTGGGAGCTCTGGTGGCATAGTCCTAGTGAGCAGTCTTCTAACCCAAAAATGGAGCCTGACTGTTCAAATCCACCAGTGACTCTGAGGAAGAAAGATAGACAATATAATCCTGAGTGATTTACAGCCTCTGAAAACCCAATGGAAGACCAGCTATAAGTTGATTTGGACTTGACAGCAATTGAATTTGAGTCTTCTGAGTTTTGAGAATATTAAATAATACAAATTCCTCGAACAGAGAAGATATTCCCTAAATGGTTTATGAAGTAATATATCTCCCATTGGGCAACAAAAAGACAGATAAGATATTTTATAAACACAGGAAATGTCAGGTTAGAAACACAATCAGTTCCTGTGTCTGATTTGCTGGTAAACTCAAATGGGTCTACACAGTTTCTAATTAGTCTTACTTTAGAGCTAGATCAGAGTCCTGGTGGCACAGTGGTTGATGTCTAGGTCTGCTAATCAAAAGGTAAGCAGTTCAAATCTACCAGCTGCAAGAGAAGTATGGGCAATCTCTCCAGGAAAAATTTACAGTCTTAGAAATCCAGTGGAGTATCACCATCTGTTAGAACAAACTCAATGGTAATGGTATGGTAATGCAGTGGTTAAGGCAATCCACTGTCAACCAAAAGGCTGGTGATTCTCACCACCAGCTTCTCCACAGAAGAAAGACGAGAGACAGTCTACTTCCATAAAGATTTAGCTTTGGAAAACCTATGAGGCAGTTCTACCATGAGGCAGTAGGTTTGGTTTTGGTGCAAAGCCTGAATGAAGTCTTTTCAGGGATCTAAAAGCTGCATGTACAAATTAAGATAACTGATAAGTATCTGCTGCAAGTATGAGTAGGTTCAAGCATTTCAAAGTTAGGGCAAATGTACATAATATAAATGGGCAACTATGAAATGTTAGTGACCTTATCTGTAGCAAACTGAACTGCTAACCTAAAGGTTTAGTACTTCATCTGACAATTCAAATCCACCATTTACTTTGTAGCTGAAAGAAGGGCAGTCCTGTCCCATTACAACTTAAAGCCTCGCACCTATGATTGGATTCAACTCAACACCAGTGACTGATGAGCCTTAACAATCAAAAAAAATCCTGGAATTTGCTGTAATCAGACTATCGACTATTTTAAAGACACCTGTCTAATAAACTTTTGCCACTTGAGTGCCTGGCACAGTGGTCAGAAAACAAACAAACAGAAGAGTATTAAATGATTGTCAAAAGAATAAAACTACTTTTAGCAGCTATGATAGATAATTTTTACAAATTTTTTTCCTACTCCAACTTTTTACTTACTTCTCTTGATTTGGTTTTGCTTTGTTTTGAGGTCAGCTGGTTACACTGTTTCAAAGCTTTTTGAAACACTTTATAAAATCTTTATGGTTTAAGTGTCAAATCATAAAATAAGAAACAAATCCTTTAAGAATTACAGGGCAAGGGGAGCTCTGGTGGCCTAGTGGCAAGGAGCTGCAACTACAATCCCAGAGGCGCATGGTTCGAAACCACCAGATGCTCTGCCGGGGAAGAAGGGACAATCTCCTCCTGTACCAGTCAGATCTGATTTGACAGTACACTGACACAAAAATAAGAAAAAAAAAAAAAGAATTACAGGGCAAAACCAACCTATTTAGGAAAAGTTCAGATTCCATTACAGACGTAGGGAACTCTTGTTAGTGTAGTCTGTAGGGAGCTGTGCTGTTAATCCAAAGGTGCAATGCCTCTCTGGTGGTTCAAATTCACCAGTGGCTCCACAGGATAAAGATGGGCAATTTCTTTCTGTACATTTACAGCCTCAGGAAACCTGCTGGAGGATCAACTCAAAGGCAAGAGTTTGAGTTTTGACCTGAAGTTGAGTGGACCAACACTCAACAGTGGATCACCATTAATTGAATGGCAAAGGCTTTTGGGTTATCCAAAGGTTTCTCAAGAATTTGATTAGAAATTGTAAGAACAGTCAGGAATCAAGGTACATCAAATACAAAACTGGACTCATATTTTCAATTTTTAAGGTGAAAATTTTTCCCGGAAGATTAAAAATCTGTAAATGAGTCTACATGTTTATAGATAACATGTCTATTCAAGAACCAAGTTTTACTCAACCAAAACTGATAATCTACACAAAAGCCAATACTATTTATGTAGACGCACATCCCAAAGGCAGAGATGCACGCCACAAACTGCTCGGCAGAAGGATCGGCAATCTCCTCCTGTTCAATTAACTGCTTCTGAAAAACCACTGGAGAGTCAACTATGGTTTGGTTCCGACTCTACGGTACACAACATCTGCTATTTTTGAAAAGTCTGGACATAAAAGGAAGGACAACATAAACAGAAGAAACAGACCACGTACTTTTTGAAGGCTGAATTCAAAGTGTGCAGACAGAAGGAGGTAAGAAATTATAATCTTTAAAGAGCAACAAAGATGTCTGGTTGCTCTAATAAAAGTTAAACAGAAATGGCTTTGAAATTGTCATTTCATTTCCATTTTCTAAAGGATCAGCGTTTACTCCTAACATTGAAGTACAAATACAATTTACTTTCTAAAAAGAAAGTGATGTGCTTTTATTAAGAAAAACGGCACTATACAATTCAACCACCACCAATAAACAAGATTTCTGTAAGTCGATTTCATTTAAGTAATACATTTAAAAATTTAGCATTGACAATTTCTTTCTTTTAAAATTTAGGAGAAAGGTACAATGGTTCCCCGCCCCCTTTACCAACTTTACATTACAAAAGAGAGTGATGGAAAAGAATGGGAAGATGCAATACGTAGTCAAAGTATAGCTACGTTCGTGTTGTAACTAAAACCCTGCTTTCAGTTTTGTACGGCACTTGGATTGGCTTCTGGACAAAAATAAACCTGCCAAACTCCAGCAGAGGGAGAACTGTTTGCACAGAGAATATCAAGTTTACGTACTGATCATTAACACTTATTCTGTTTTTGAAGTCTCAGATCTAAGTTACTTTCCTTGTAAGAAATTTCTAGTTTGGTGCCCACCGCTACCAACAGCTGCAGGGGAACTGCCTCCTCAGTACCTTTGGTTTAAAATACGACTAACCTTTTCCCTCGGGCAAGGGATGAGGTAGTTTGACATGTAACCCGCAGCTCTGGTAATTACAGAAACACTCTAATAAAAAACTTTAAATCTTGCTAAAGTAAATTCTAAATCAGATCTACCGTCAACATTGTCAAATCCTTCCCCTCCGGTTCCAAAAAGAAAATATAGCTGTAGAGTGGAACCCGCTGCGCAGCAAACAAGGCACAGCTCCAAACTCTGTCCTCTATCCCCTTGTTTTTGGTTCCCTCTCAGTCCTCCTCTCCCATCCGGAACCTGAGCTGAGCATTTGGCTCCCTTATCTGGCAGTAACTGGCGCCAGGGGGACCATGCTCTCAGGAGTGCGGAGCTTGAAGGCTGAGCCCTGCGTGTGGCGCGCTGCAGCCGCTAGGCTCAGCCAGGTACTCCCGGGGCTCGCGCCGCTGCCGCCTCCAGGGGCCTCGCGGAGCCCGAGCTCCGCTAAGGAGATTCCCAAGACGGGCACCTGCGCCAGACTTGCCACCAGCTTTGCGCCCTACACCCCGAAATGAACCGCAGTCCGGTCCCACCAAGGCAACTGGAGGGTCGTAGGCTCCAAGGAACGAGGTTCCCGCATACACCAACCCGGCCGGTCCTCTTCCCTCCCCGCCCGCAGCCGCCCGAACCACTGCCCGCCGTGGCCCGCATGGGTTCAGTACCATTCTCCTCACGGGGCGGACTCCGGAAGGGCAGAAACTCCACCTCCTCCTCCTCCGCGGCCTGCAGCCATCTATTGGAAAGCGTCTCCGGAGGCGGCAGCAGAAGCCGCCGGACAAGGACTGCCCAAGGAAACCTTCTCAGAACTAACTCAGCTCCGGCGCTAGCAGCAGAAGCCGAGTCTTTCATAATTGTGCGACCAACTCCTCCGGGTGACTGGCCACAGGGACGCGCCCGCGCCCGCCTCCGCCGGCGACGGGGCTGCAGACAGACCACGTGAGGGGCGCGTTGAGTGCGTCGCCGCCCGCGGGCCAGGTCACGTGAAGGGCGCGCGCTCCCTCACTGCCAGACCTCCTCCTCCGCCTCGCTAGCCCCGGGCGCGCGCGCGCCGGGCACGAGCTTCTCCACCCTTTCCCGCTTTGGGTGGGGTGTTCTCAGATCGTCATTGGCTAGTTAGGCGGGGAGTCCGCCGACTTGTCTCTCTGTTCCCTGGGTGGAACTTAAAGAAATAGCTAAGGGTTAAGGTTCTAGGCCTCCGAGATCCATGTCGGAATTGCAGCATGGTCTCAGATCTGCTACCAGGGCCTGGACTGGCTTCTGCGCAGCACTCACGGGCAGCATTTCCCAATCACTTCTGCGTGTCTAAGAGCGGGTGGAAGCTTTAAATACTTTTAATAACACTCCTTTTGCTCAAAATGCAAAACTATATTTTTACCTCAAATTATACATGTCCTATTTTTGCCAGGAAAAAAAAAATTATGGATTTGACACCATTCTTTACAGAGAGATCATTCGTGGAAACACAAATGCCATGCACCTTGTTTACCAAAAATTAATTTTACAAATATTAGTATTTACAAAAAAAATTATGCCAATATTACCGAAACCCAATTTTTGGATTTCCCATTCTTTTGCTTTCACGGAAGTCCAGATGGGCATTCAGTGATAAATATACTAAATGTTTCCTGATTGCCTTTCACTATCTACTCTGGAGACGATGATTACCTTCTTTTCTAAAACAGTTTTACTGAGGATTGATAGTAAAACGTACATATGTGATTTATAAATTTAGTCTATGTATTTTGTAGTTATGTGCCATTGAGAAGGAATGGTCTCATAGTTTACTCTCCAGTTGGTTTTTGAAGGCTATAAATAACTTGAGATTGCTCATCTTTCTCTTAAAAAGCAGTTGGTGAATTTGAACTATCTACAGCAGTCAAGAAATCAAAAGACGAATTGCTCTGGGGGAGGCTGCTCTGAGGGACCTCTCAAAAGTGCTGAAGAGCAAGGATGTCAGTCTGGAGACTAAGGTGTGCCTGATCCAGGCCTGATCTTTGCAATTACTTGCTATCCATCATAGGGTTACACAGTGACCAACAAAGAGAGAAGATGAATTGATGCCTTTGAGTTGTGGTGCTGGCCAAGAGTATTGAACGTGGACTGAAAACAGAATAAACACGTTTATCCTGAAGATAGTAAAACCAAGCTGCTCCTTGGAGGCAAGGATTTTGAAGCTCCATCTCAAGTATTTTGGACAGTTGTCGAGAGGGACCAGTCCCTGGAGAAGGACATCATACTTGGAAGGGTAGAAGGACAGCACAGGATGAGATGGATTGACAACAGTTACTGGGATAATGGGGGTAGATGTGTTGGAAACAGTAAAACTGGCTCAGGATAGAGCAGAGTACAGAGCTATATTGTACATAGGGTCACTATGAGTGGCAGGTGACTAGATAGTGCATAGCAACTACAAACCTTTAGGTTTGAAGTGCAACTCCTAATCCATCAGTGCTCCTTACTTATGTTTGTTGTTGTTATGTGCCATCAAGTAACTCACAGCAATCCTATGCACTACAGATCTGAACCTGCTCCTATCCTTCATCCTTAGCATCTTCAACCCAATGCTGTCGTCACTGTTTCAATCCATCTGGTTAAGGGTTTTCCGCTCTAACTGATCCTCCACTTTTCCATGTATGGTGTCCCTGCCCAGAAATAGCCCCTCCTAACATCATGCTCAAAGTATGTGAGACAAAGCTTCACCACCCTTGCCTATAAGGAGCACTCCGGTGGCACCTTCTCCAAGACATAACTTTTCTTTTTGACAGTTCATGGGATATTTAGTCCTGTTTTCCAAGACCACAACTCGAAGGCATTGATTCTTCTTTTGTCATTTGTATTCACTGTTAAACTCTCAGGTGCATAGCAAGTGATTGAAAGCATCTTGGCTTGGATAGGCACACGATAGTCTTCAAATGACATCATTCCTCTTCAGAACTTTGGAGAGGTCTCTGACTGCAGAAAGACCCAAAGCAATGCATCTTTTAATTTTTTTACTTTTGGTGTCAAGGGAGTTGACTGTGGATCCAAGCAAGATTAAATCATTGACAATTTCAATCTTTTTTTCAATCTTTTCACCATCTATCATGTTGTTGCCTATTGGCCCAGTAGCATCAACTTCTGTCTTCTTGATGTTGAGATGTAATTCATATTAAAGTCTTTGATCTTCTGCAGCAAGTACGAGGAGTCATCCTCACTTTCACTTTCAGAAAGAAAACTTGTTGCATCTGAATTAGGCAGATTGTTGGTAAGTCTTGATGCCACATCTTTCTACATAGAGTCCACCTTTTTAAAAATATGTTCCATATTTAGATTGTCTAGGTATGAAGAATGGACACATTCTTGATTTTTTTTATTTTATTAAATTTTATTAGTTTTAATGAACATTTACAGGGATTTTGGGTTTTCATTCCTTCATTACTGCACCATTCTCTCTACCCTCCTCCCCAGTTTGTTCTTCTTCCCCGCCATCCGAATGTCTGGTTGTTTTTTTTTTAATTT